TTCTACCTTTTTTCAAAACACCATTCATTTCACATATATCTGAATGTATGAGTTCTAGTGGTGCAAGATTTCTCGTCTCCGCAGTCACATGAGACTTACGAGGTAGCTTAGCTTGCACACACACTTGACACTTAGATCCCTTGACATTGGTGAAACTAGGGATTAAGTTCAACTTTGCTAACCGTGTCATGCAACCAAAGTTAACATGACAAAGACGTGAATGCCACACATTTGATTCACTATTATTGCAAACATGATTAACAACTTTACTGCAAACATCTAACAAGGGTAAACAAAGCAGGCCTCCTGACTCATAGCCTTTACCGACAAAGGTTCCATACTTGGATATTACAAATTTATTCGACTCAAAGACAAGCATGTAGCCATCTCTACACAGAAGAGATCCGCTAACAAGATTTTTATTGACTAAGGGGACATACTGCACATTCTTCAGCCGCACGATCTTCCCCAAAGTAAACTTCAGATCGACCGTGCCAACACCACGAACAGAAACACTTGAACCGTTTCCCATCAGCACAGTGGAAGTCCCTGCGGTCTGATAAGACGAAAACATGGAAATATCACCGCATACATGCACATTAGCACTCGTGTCAATCAACCAATCAGGAGAATGACATACTGAAAGAATAGTGAGAAATATACCATACCCAGCATCCTTCATGTCAGTGTCTCCAATGACAACATTAGCGGTCTTGCCGCCTTTCCCAGGATGACGCTTGTCATAGCGATTAGGGCAACTAGGAGCCCAATGATCAGGATCCCCACACACATGACAAACACTTTTCTTCTTGTCATTCTTCTTCTTGAAGTTCGTGTGCTACACAGCCTTGTTCTTCCTATCAAACTTTGCTTTACCATCAAACTTGCCCCTGTTCTTGAACTTGTGGGGCTGGAAGTTCTTCTTCTGTACCAGATTGGCACTACAGCCTCCCTCAATACCTCGAGCACGGTTGTCCTTTGCTCTCGCCTTTTCTTCCACATCAAGAGTACCAATGAGATTCGGAATGGAAAACTCCTGCCTCTTATGCTTCAGTAAGGTAGCAAAGTTCCTCCACGTGGAGGAAGCTTAGTGATGATACCTCCAGCAATAAACTTGTCAAGTAGGATACAATTGAAGTGCTCAAGTTCTCTAGCAAATGACTGTATCTCATGTGCTTGCTCAACCACGGAGCGCTATTCAGTCATCCTGTAATCATAAAATTGCTCCATGATGTACAACTTAGTGCCAGCATCCGAGACCCCAAACTTGGCCTCAAGTGCGTCCCACATATCTTTTCCATTATCAATTGACGCATAAGCATCAACTATGTTCTCACCAAGAAAACTCAAGAGAGCATCCTTAAACAAGGTATCCATTTTCTGAAAAGCTTGTGCCTGTTGAGCATCATGCTCTCCTTCAGGTTTGCCAAGAGTGGCGTCATAGCAACCCATGGTTTGAAACCATAAGACTGCTCTCACGTGCCACCTCTTATAGTGGATATCCTCAAACATAGGAGGTCTCATGGAAGCAGCAAAACCACTTGGGGTAAATTTCCTATCATAAGGTTTTTTAGATTGTTGGAAATATGAGCAATTTACCGAATGATTTTATTAACAGAAATACTAGATAAAGCATGACTAGTATAGCAGTGATAAAACAAGCCATGTGATTTGACAAAGAGAAGGTAAATAGCATCTTCATATATGAACCGTAACTAAACATATCTAGAGCAGACAGTATAGCAAGTTGCATATGTGAAATAGAGTCTAACATATCTAGGGAAAATAATAGAACAAGGAACTGTAGCAGGACCTCTAATAGAAAGAGGAAGAACACGTATGGGACAGCAGCAACAGAAGCGCTGGACTTGGGGTCGGTGTCCTCGCCAACCATGTCGTCGAGGAGGTCGTGGAGGTCGGGGAAGAAGTCGTCGTCAGGGAAGTAGTCATCGGAGTCCGGGACGTCCGTGACGAAGAAGTCAGTAGTCGCGCGAAGCGCTCCCCAAAAACCTTATCACCCTTCTCCCGTACAGGACTCAAAAGGTGCGGTTTCGGAGGCCTACTGTCCCGACCTGCGGTGCATGCCGCAAGCCGGGATGGGGAAGAACGTAGCAGCAGCGCAGTGCTCAGGAACTTGGTGGCGAGAGGGAGATGGTCTTTCTGATGTGTCTCTCTGGAGAGAAGCGACCTCTCTTATATAGGCACAGGAGAGAGAGGTGAACAGGCTGCGACGGGAGGTGAAGCAACAAAGGAAGACGAAGCGAACAGGCAGCAGGCGAAGAGGTGCGTCGTTCGTATTCAATCTCCACTACAGCAAAAACGTTTCAGCTTCCGTGTGACTGTTCGTGTACCCATCGTGCGTGGCAAAAATTTAGACATCGGCTCGGCTCATTCCCGCAATCCGCAACCCGCGTGGTGGCGTGGCATGGCGAGGCGGGCGGCGGAGGAGGAGCGCGCGTGGATGTCCCTCTTGTTCTCATGCTCATACATGTGGGGAAAGAACCTCCCTTATAAAGAGGTCCAACTCCCTCTAAACTAGCAATGTGAGACTAAACTTTAGTTCCACCTCTTGCCTTGCACGAATGGGCTGCGTGGGCCTTTAGGATTTATTAGGAATTTCTGAAACTGCTATTAGGCTGGCTCAAAATAGACAAAATTCCAGCAGTTACTAGTCTATGTTGCTACCCATTGTAGCTAGTCTTAGGGCATGTACAATGGTGCTATTTTAGGAGTACAATGTGGGTTAAATGATGAGATGGAGGAGAGAGAACTCATAAGAAAAGACTTGTCTTGTTTTATTTAAGAGAAGACAAGAGATGATCTCTTAGCACAATATGTCTTACCACGTTTTTAGGAAGACTAGTTATTAAAGATAAGCTAAGAGATGACCATTGTAGACATTTTTTATGTCATTCTATATTACATGTAAAACTTAAGATAAGACTATCTTATCAATTATTATACATGCCCTTAGCTAATCAACCTATAGGACAAAACTACCATTTTAGTTGTTTTTCCGGGGGCTGCAGCCTGCATATGGCTCCTCATAGTAATCTGTCTTTTCAGAACCCGGGTGTCTAGGCACCCTCTTATCTCCACCGTCCGTCAAGAACTCAGTTCCTAGAGATCTATACCACGTCCTGTTGCATGTAGTTGATTAGCAGGTCTACCTCGCACTGTAGCTGATTCCACCTAACAAAAAGATAGAGACGTCTGTGAACAGATTCCTTCAGCCGGTCAGCACCAGACCATTGTCGCAGTGGCGAAGCCACATGTAAGCTGGGTAGTCAGTTGACTACCCAGCTTTTTGATAAAATCAATGTATACATGTATACATCTTTCAGAAAATAAATAGGAATCCATATATCTGACTACACAACTTTAAATTAACTACACAACATTGAACTTCTGGCACCGCCACTGCATTGTCGCATGCAACATGTTGGCCATGAAAACAAAAACAGAAGCAAGTGCGTCACATCTTCATTTATTATTCTGTTGCTGCCACTCAAGAAAATAACAATTTATTACTTTGCTTTGGCTGCCGCATTTTTACAGAAAAAAAGTGGAGTTGTCCAGATCACGTGAACTTCTGAACTTGTGCATGCATGTGAGACTGTTTTTAGGAGAGAGGCACAACATGTGGCTGCGCATGCATGTTAAAGCAATTTAGAGAGTTTATTTAAATATAACTTTTCAGAGAGTTGGAGTGCGAGGGAAGAGAGAGATGGGAATCTCATGTGGTGCGAGTGGGCACATGCACCGTGGTCAATGTATTGTCACTTCAACCATCACCCAACCAGCTTGGCCCACAAGACCTCCTGCCAGGCCTAGTCCTGCCATACCCGTCTCTCCTCCCGTCGTTGTTTTCTGCTTAAAAAAGCCTGCTAATTACACTTCTACTGCAAAGTCTCTGCAGCTGGACTGTGGCTGGCACAAATCTTGAAGTCGCTGGACGAGCAGGATAAGGGCCTCTTTGATTCGCAGGATTGTAAAAACATGGAAATAGGAAAAACATAGGATTGAAATGTCATGCTCATCTCAATCCTATAGGATTTTAGGTTGTTTAATTGCATCATAGGAAAAACAAAGGATTCTTTGAAAGAGGTTTGACTGGATGCTAGAAATCCTATGTGAAGTAGTACAAAAAATTCCTTAGGAAAAAATTCTATAGGATTCAATCCTATGAATCAAACAATCAATATAGGAAAATTTCCTAAGGATTCTAATCCTCCAAAATTCCTATGCAAATCCTTTGAATCAAAGGAACCCTAACAGGGTGTCGGGGCACCCGGGTTCCATCACACCTTTTTGAATCTGTTTTGAGCCTCTAGGTTTGATGGCCAGCCTAGGTTGTGGCTGCATCGCAAGTTCCATCTGGTGAGACAACAGAGCCGGTACAAGTACGATTGACTTTTTCAAATCATGAATATACAAGTATAATTAGTTGGCCGTTGTAGGCAGGCCTGCCAGGAACACGCTTTATACTTCTTCCTCGTTGCTCAGGTGGGAACTAGTGAAGACCATTTCCTTCATATCCACTTGCGCCCCAACGGAACAAACACAAAAGCTCTTCCATCGTCCCTTTCCCCTATATATAGCGGTCTCCTCCAATCCTCAGAAGCACCACAAGAACTAGTTTGCATAGCTCTTTATCTACTTGACCAAAGCGCACTTGATCTAGTGAGAATTAATTTTGGCATCCAAATGGCCACAAAGTTCTTCCTCCTTGCCTTTTTGGCCCTGTCGGCTTCTCGTGCTCTTGCCTCTGACCCAGGCCAGCTTCAGGATCTCTGCGTCGCTGACAGGACATCCTAAGGTATGTATAACCACACATGCATGCGTACTTGTGGTGAAATGATCGAGTTACTTCTTTTTGCCAATATGTAGCTGTTAACTGTTCAAAATGCGTATATGTATGTGCAGTTTTCGTCAATGGATTTGCATGCAAAGACCCAAAGAATGTTGTGGTAGAAGACTTCCTCTTCTTTGGCCTTCACATGGCTGGGAACATGAGCAACAACCAGGGCTCCGCTGTGTCCGCAGTCAACGTTGCGCATATTCCTGGCTTGAACACTTTGGGCATCTCCCTCGCTCGTGTCGATTATGCACCCTATGGTCAAAACCCACCCCACATCCATCCCCGCGCATCTGAGATCTTGACAATGCTGGAGGGCTCACTCTATGTTGGTTTCGTGACCTCAAACCCCGAGAACAAGTTGTTCTCAAAAGTACTAAACAAAGGAGACGTGTTTGTGTTTCCGCAAGGGCTGATTCACTTTCAGTTCAACACCGGAGACAAAGAAGCGATAGCCATTGCGGCACTCAGCAGCAAGAACCCTGGAGTGATCACCATAGCCAATGCGGTGTTTGGATCGACGCCATCAATCTCAGATGACATCCTTGCCAAAGCCTTCCAGGTGGACAAGAAAATTGTAGACCATGTCCAAGCTCAGTTCTAGACATTTATATTTGGTGATGTTCTTATTTGATTAATTTGTTTTTTCATTAAAGATTTTGTCCGGGTGTTTCTTTATACTATAATTCAATGGAAGAAAAATGACAATGTTTTTACTTCTTCTAATTATTATTTTCTTTATGATCTTCGTTAGTAAACAAGAAATATCGAATGGGTCGTGGCTTGACCCAACTGCAACCTAGCAAGTTTCATCATAGTTGGGCGTGTCTTTGTTTTATTCAAGAACTTTGTATGCGGAAAACAAATGATCATGTGTTTGGTCTATTGTACGTAACAAAGTCAATCAATTTGATCACAAGTGATGAGAGGTGTGCATCATATTGATGCAGTGGCCAGGGGTTTAACCTCATTTTCGAGAAAAAAAAGAGGGCATGCGACGTGAGATACGTGCATGCTACACCCACGTACTATGTCGATGCATTAGAATACAAACGACGTTAAGTCCTTAGGCAGCACACCACGAATTTGATGCCCGGTAACTAAAGAAAATGGAGGAATCCCTTCAAGGTTTGAGACACACAATCAATAAGAGTGATGATATTGTATTAATGTAACTCTTCTTATATATATGACACCAATATGCGAGTTATTCCCTTTCATGTAGACAAAGGAAGATGCTAACAGAGGGACGATACAATGTTGTTGTTGCATATATGGTTCGGCAATGGGTAGTAGTACTACCCATATGCATGTAGTGCGTATATATCATATTTGGGTTATACAAGCCCAGCTATATCCGTGCCCCTGGAGCCCACACGGAACCCAGCAACTTAGTTGGAAGACTCTTCTAAGAAAAGTTGGAAGACATACCGAGTTTCTTGATGCAAGCCTTGTGGGTACCTGGAAAGAGAATACGAGTCCTACTTGTACAAGGTCTAGAATGTACGTGTACACGGAGAGGACACCCACTTGGAGGAGAGTGGAACACCGAACACCGCCATACCACGACAAAATAAAGGAGGCAAGACCTAATGCAATTTCAACGTACCTATAACTTTTTGAAGTTCAATTGTATATTTTCTTATGGTTTTATTCAAAAAAATATGCTTTTGGGACTAACCTACTTGACGGAAGGCGGAATTATCCTGTTTCACCGTTGTGTTCTCCTCGGGAAGTTAAGCTTCGGCGTATTTTTTTCGACGATCAAAATATTCCTTGAAAGCCTACAGCCTTGATCTAATGTATGTGTACACCCATGCGCTAGCACAAAGGACATTATCATATCAATACATACAATTCATATCAACCACGCGGGCCTGGAATTCATGTGAAATGTCTTATCTATATGATTTTTTATTAAAATATAAGACATGATAAGATTGGAATGAAAAAACAATCTGTGATGGAGCACCTTTGCCACCACAAAAAATGGAGTACCTATTGGCGATAGACACATCACACATTGGTTTTCAGACTTGCTTGTCTTCAAAGTCACCCACATCATTGTAAAATTCGCAGTGATGTGGTATAACCATCTACGATGGAGTTTTTTTGGCAGCAGAGCGATATCCTAGTCTGTAGGTAGGGGTTCTTATCTCTAGCAGTACAATATGCCTATCTTTTCGACGCCGCCCCTTGTGTATTGGTGAACAACCAACTATATACCATGCAACATGAATCAAATCACATAATATTAAGTATTACCATACTATGGAAGGTCAATGATCGATGCTAATTATTCTTACAAGAAACACCTAACATTCAACACCACCTATTTCAACCTGAAATCTTACTACTATAGAAGGTGACATTTTAGATCCATTCCCTTCAATGCCATCCATCATGAAACAAAAATAATAGGCCTCTACCTCCGGTTGCAGCAATACCTCTGGCCCCAAAATTTGACAGAGTATGAAATGAACTTAGATTTATCTCGCTTGACACAGAGATAACACCACATTTACCGAAAATTATGGGCGGCATATTCCCAATCTTCGTTCCCCGATTGGAAAGTAATTTTTTTAGACAATGTAGATCATTAGTGCTTAGATCGCGATATACTCGGACAAATTATTTCAGCTAAAGATTCTCAAACTGGAATCCCAAGTAAAATACTTGGAGCACAAACTTACAAGGATCGTATATCTCTAGCATGTTGAGAAAATTGCATGAACCAATTTCATTATCTTTCTTAAGTTTGAACTCAACAGATATTAAGGGTTTGGTACATATTTTATAATGATTCAAAAATTCTACTTTTGATAAACTAAAGTAAAAAAATAATGTAAGGTATCTTTCTACTGTATCCTCCAACTACTAGCTAGTAGAAGAAACAAAAGGAGAAACAAAGAAACAAAGAAAGAATATTCGCACAAAAGGAGAAAGAAAGAATATAAATGGCCAATGGAATTGTTATATAGTTCCTAAAACTTTGGGACATGAAAATCTTGATAAAAACAGGAGCTTGAACAAATTTACGGAGCACGTGCGCCTGCCATTTGGCAGAGCCCGTGGTTCTGACAGTAGGAGAAGGAATCATAGAGACCGGTTCAAACTTTTTATATCTAGACTTTAGGCCGTCAGATGGATAGGTATGCAGGTTAGGGACAAATCAGTCAGCCATCTAATTCAGATTATCCTTAGCTAATCAACCTGAGGATGGAAAAAAAATTAAAAAGCTTTTCAGGGGTTGCTGTACGCATGGGAGCACTCATAATAATAGGTTGAAGCCAATTCCATCTGGTGAGACAAGAGAGATAGTCCCACCTGCTTGATGTGTCAATAACGCAGGGTAGTCGAGTCAGGGAGAATCCCGCGGAGAACTCTCCACCAAAAAACCCGGACTTTGGGAACGACTTGTAGTCGCCAAAGAGCAGTCCACAAACTGTTTGTTAGCTGATGAAGATTCTGTAATCGTCCCTTCCTCTAAAGAGCCCAGCTCGTTGTGAGTCACAAGAGATCGATACGCTGATTTTACAGTGTAGATGCCCGACTTCTCCAAAGCCCAAGCCAAAGTATTTTCGACACCCGCCGGATTAAGTGGTATATTTAGGGTGGCTACCGCATCCGGGTGCAAGAAATTCTGACGGATAATTTGTTCATTCCAGTTCCCCGTATACTCATCGATGAGGTCTGAAACCCTGGTGAGAGGAGCAGTGCCGAGGCGCCCCGTAGGTTTCAGAGTGGTCGTGGTCGGAATCCAGCTATCTGTCCAAGTTGAGATAGTCGAGCCATCTCCAACTCGGTGAATGAGGCCAACCTGTAGTACTTCTCGCCCTGCTACAATTGCCTTCCAGGTTGCTGAAGCTCTGGCCGGTAATGTCACATTGAGAAAATCTGTGTGAGGGTAATATTTGCCTTCAAAACCCTTGCACACAAAGAGTCCGGTCTTGTGAGAAGGCGCCAGCCGTGTTTCCCAAGCATCGCTAAATTGAACGAATGCATGTTGCGGAGACCCATGCCGCCCTTCACTTTTGGCACCTCTAACTTGTCCCAAGAGAGCTAATGGAGGGAGCGCTTGTCGATCGAGCTGCCCCACCAGTACTTAGCCATGCATGAAGTGATCGACTTGCAAACTTTCTTAGTCAAGAGAAAACAGCTCATACTGAAGGTGGGGATCGACTGGACGACTGTCTTGAGAAGAACCTCCCTAGCTGCACAAGCCATGTTTCGCTCTGACCAACCCCGCATTTTGTCACAACATCTTTCCACCATGTGATCAAAAGTCCCACTGGTTATTTGTCCAATCGCAGTCGGGAGTCCCAAATAATGTTAAGAGAAAGCTTCTACATAAATACCAAGCATCGCTAAATTGAACGAATGCATGTTGCGGAAACCCATGCCGCCCTTCACTTTTGGCACCTCTAACTTGTCCCAAGAGAGCCAATGGAGGGAGCGCTTGTCGATCGAGCTGCCCCACCAGTACTTAGCCATGCATGAAGTGATCGACTTGCAAACTTTCTTAGTCAAGAGAAAACAACTCATACTGAAGGTGGGGATCGACTGGACGACTGTCTTGAGAAGAACCTCCCTAGCTGCACAAGCCATGTTTCGCTCTGACCAACCCCGCATTTTTTCACGACATCTTTCCACCATGTGATCAAAAGTCTCACTGGTGATTTGTCCAATCGCAGTCGAGAGTCCCAAATAACATTAAGAGAAAGCTTCTACATAAATACCAAGAGATTGCTTCAGACTCTGTCGTAGGGGCTGCCCCGTATTGCCACTGAAATAGATCGAGCTCTTCTCCCTGTTTACTGCCTGGCCGGAACATTCAGCGTATATTCCGAGAATATCATTGAGCCTCTCTGTGCTTTGGGGCTTTGCACTGAGGAAAATCAAACTGTCGTCAGCAAATAGTAGGTGGTTAACCCACGGTGCATGAACGCTCACCCGGATGCCTCTATCAACATATGCAACATGCAACATGCTCTGATCCATTGCACTCATGCAAGGGCTTTCTGGGCTGCAGCAAGGGACAGATTTCAGCTACATCTTCCACGCTTGCACCCAGACACGTGGACACGTGACATATTGCTTGACCCTATGTTCATTGATGAGGAAAGATGCAAGATTATTACCATAATGCATAGCATATGGTCATCACGGAATTGCTGGACTCACGATCGCGATGGTTACGACCGCGTACAAGCATTGAAATGGGTACATGAGACTTTGGCGATCTTGGAATTTCCTTCCTCGCGAAGGAGATTGAGGGCTAGACAATGCTGGAGGCCACCCGAGGCCGGGTGGGTCACTATAAACACTGACGGCGCGCTCAATGCCGAGGATATGAAGGGGGGAGCGGGAGGTGTGGCTAGATCGCACTTTGGGTTCCTTGGTGCCTGGTGCAAGCCACTGGTTGGCATAACGGATCCCTTCATCGCAGAGTTGCTTGCTTTTCGAGACGGGATGATCTTTGCGCAACTACGTGGTTTTATCATGGAGATCGACTGCTTGGAGCTAGTTGATCTATGGAACTCGCGCAGCAACACTCATTCAGTTGCAGCGCCTATCTTGACCGAATTAGAGGACATCGGTGCT